CGAGTTCTTAGTGTCCAGGTGTTCCAAGGCTGTATGCAGAGCCAGGGAGACAGCATCACCCACTGATCTGTTGTTCTGGTAGGCGAACTGCAAGGGGTGCAGGGACTCTGTGATGGAGGAGTTGATGTTTGACAACACCAGCTTCTCCAGGCATTTCATCACCACAGATGTTAATGCTACTCAGGCATGCCATTTTTGCCTTTTTGGGGGTTGGAACAATGGTGTTTTTTTTAAAGCAGGTGGGGACCATGGACTGTGACAGATGACTGTTAAAGATGTCTGTAAACACTGTGGCCAGCGGTGCTGCACATGTCCTCAGGACGCGAGGTGGTATCCCATCAGGCCCTGCAGCCTTACAGATTTTCACCCTGTTCAGAGTCTTCTGCACGTCCTGCTCTGAGAGTTTCAGAACAAACTTGCCCTGCACACTTGGGGTACAAGTGTGCAGGGTTACAAGGCCACAATGGTATCCACTACTCCAATGTGCTGCTACTCTTGTAGACAAAGTCTTTAAAAAGACCATTATTATAATCAGTATTGTTTGTACTGATATATAACATAAATAAGTAATTAATGTTTTGAAAATTTGGGGAATTCCAATGTATTTCACTGTAGTTAACTCCATTTCCTTTCATTCCAGTTCACATTAGAGCTTGAGGAAAGCTCTAAGCATCATCAAAGACCCCACACATCCCAGCTACAGACTGTATGACCCTCTACCATCTGGAAAATGGTACCGGAGCATTCAGGCCCGGACTACCAGACTCAGAGACAGTTTTTATCCCCGCACTATCAAACTATTAAAATATTATGATCTGAACCTCACAGTGCCTTCTTTCTTACCAAAAGCTCACACATTGAAATCTACCTCTACCTTACATGTCAAAAAGCTTACTCCCCATTGATGCGTTTTTGCACATCTGATGTTGTTTTTGCACATTAGTTGTTACCATTTTGTTGTTTTGCACATTGCCTGTTGTTGTTTTGCACATTGCCTGTTGTTGTTTTTGCACACTGCCTGTTGTCTCTTTCTTTAATTATACAATTGTATTGTTGTTGTTGTTTTTTTGTACTACGTATCGTCTGAGAGTTAGCTAAATAGCATTTCGTTATACCATATACCTGTATATGAGTACAATGACAATAAACTTGAACATGATTCCACTTCAGTATATTTAAGACTATTTCAATTCAAAATCCAAATCAAGAACTGAATTATATACAGAAATATTATTAAAAATGTATTATTATATATGAAATGTATGCATAAAGGAAAACGGTTGTATGGTGATGCACTGTTGCCTTGTTGCTTCGTAGCTCTGGGGCCTTTGGTTAACTTCTGGACCAGGGATGATATCTGCATGGTTTGTGTTGGTTTTCCTCCAGGTGATTTGATTTCCTCCCACAGTCCAGAAACATACTGTTAGGTTAATAATACTGTTAGATCTGGGAAAATTGGCCCAGGTGTAACTCTGTGTGTGTGTCTGTGTATGTGTTTATCTGTCCTGTGATGGACTGGCATCCTGCTCATTGTTTATCTCGCTTTGCAGCCATTGCTTATAGGGATAGGCTCTGCTGTGTTCCTGAATTGTAAGTAATGGTTCAAAGATTGGATGGACATATACAAAAATTAAAGACATTGACTATCTTGATGAGTATGAGCATAAAAACAATCATGTTAACCATCCAGACACTGCCTAGATGATTACAAAGTTAGCCAATGGTAACTTTAAAAGAGTTAAATAATTTAGTGGCTGAGATGGGAGAAAACATATATAAGTAAATAAATATCGTGGTCCCTACCTTAAGGATCCACACAGTTATCTGATTGGCCTCTGTGCGCAATAATAGTGCTGGTCAGAATTTCAAAATTAATAAATCTATCTCAGGCACCTCAGCCAGGTAGTGAGGTACAAGCAAAACTTATTCTGTGAAGCCAACAGAGCTGTCAAAATAACTGTCAAATTATAAAATGTGTATAAAGTTTCTAAGTTATACCCAGAAGGGCATAACAACATAAAGACCCTTAATGTCACCATTAAAGATGCCACTATGAGGCCAACAGCTATTTTAAATAAGTTAAGAGTTCAGTGGTTGAGGGAAAATGTCAATGTGATAATAATGATCAACAAAAATGGTGTTCAAATCTTATATTATAAAGAAAGTTGGGTGGTTGGTGTTAATATTTAAGTTCTTTTTTTCATAATACTCATTATATTTCCTTAAATTTGTATGCTGCATATATAGTTCACCTAGGTATAAATGCTGCCAGTTCACATTTCACATATGGAAACTGCACATTTTAAAACTAATTATTGCAGTAAGACAAAATGTAAAAAATAACTTAAACAATTTTCTATTGATTGTTTCTGCAACCTTATCTTAGGTTCAAAAATGTATTCTAAATGCATTTCTTTTGGGACAGTATAACTCCCATTGGAAAGAAATTGCAAGAGGTTCAGATCAGCTGAAAGTCAAACTGTTTCCTTTCCAAGGGATATTCAACAAGTTAAGAGATTGGTATTAAACATGAGTACTGAAGTTTGTCCCATCGACAAGTTTCTTGAAGAGATTAAGCACGATGTATGTGTGAATAAGTACAGGTTGTGCAGCAGGCATTTCACCGCAGATGTGTTCCAACGTGATCTGCAGAGTAGATATTCTAGAAAGTAAGTAGTCGACAAAGTCTAATTCAAATTAATTGCACTCATTCAAATCAGTTGTCGGGATAAAATATCTAAAAACATGGGGCCTTGTATGTATCGTATCATAAATTAATACCAAAATTCTCTTGGTCTAAAACATGCTTTTTTGCAACAGGAATAGATTGGTTTTTAAATAAGGTTAATTTTGAATAGGACCTGTATTGACATTTTCTTTGAAGTTCACATTTAATGAAACCTGACAGTTCATAATATGAAATATATTTTCAATTCACAAACTGAACCAAAACCTGTGCTCAAACCAGGTGCCATTTCTACCATTTGTGCTTATAAAAAGCGACCAATGAAAAGAGAACAGAATGAGAGGCTGATATCAGTATTTGATAGAAAAATAGACAAAAATCTATCTTCATGATTTACTTTAAATGATGCTTTTCATCATAATTATGTTTAAGACCTAAGTTAAGATGTGCATTAAATATGGTTTTACGACTAAATGCAATAAAAAAGAGATGTAGTCATATACATTTAACATGTTGTACGTGCTACAGTAGTTTACAATGTAACTGAGCCACTTCATGTCACTGGATGTTTTGTTGCCTTGATCTGAAACAGCTGGTAATATGGTGCTAAGCATACAGTATGTGGCGATTTTACACATTACCATGTACTTTGTACTTTCATTGTGGTTTGAAATGAACTCATCAATAACCCCAAAAAAACAAAAATAGCATTGCAGCTCCCCTTGAATCTGATCTTTATGGATGATTTAGAACTCTCACTTTCTATCTTCCTCTAATTCTCTCTTTTCTCTCCCCTTTTTTACAATTTATCTTTTTGTACCTACGTTTTTTTATGCCGTGATCCTGGACTGTTGATGACACTCTTGATGATTTTCCAATAATTTATTTAATTAAGGCAAACCAAAGTAAACTTGACAATTGCTTTTATTAGTGAATAATAAAACTAACATCTCGGCAAACACCTTCTTGTTTTGAAGTTCCCAAGAACTGGAAATGTTGACACTATGCTGACCATTTTCCTTTGGATTATTACACCTCAATAGCCTCAATAACTGTAACAATAATCTAAATAGTATTGTTGCACAATTCTTGTCTTGAGGGTGATTTACCTTGTGCATGGAAGGCAGACTGACAGCTATAACCTTAAAAAAGAGAAGCTGGCAAATGAGCCACAATATCAAAAATAGCAATATCAAATAACAAACATATAGGTCTAGATTACAATATGGAAATAGATAAAACCAATAATCTCTAAAGAATCACACATTTTACAAAAAATGCCTTATGTTTTTTTTTTATTTCACATACAGTATGAAAAATTTAATTACTTACTTCTTGGTTAAGAAAGCAGTAGAGAACAGCTACTAAAAGCCCCTAAAAAAGAAGTAATGTTTTAAAAAAAATATTTTGTTACATCTTAGAAACAGTAAAGAACAATATCACACAGAAAATGTCATATTTTTAATATATAAAATACTGCTTGGCTATTACGTATCTTCAACTGTTAAAATGTTTTTTTTATCATTTTATTTACTTTTGTTAAAATAACCTAATACAACACACAAAAATAATTTCCGTTCCCAGAATGTTTTTTTTTTCAATTACTGTATATAAAAGAGGCAGAAAGTGTGAATTCCATTAACAACAGTAGATGGCACTAGTGGAAAGGTGTGGGTCAATAAACAATACACATTGTGTAGTACTGTATATTGGATCTGAATATTGCAATTGTCTGTCCAAAATACATTTAGATTGTCTCTGATCCTGCTGAGTATCCATACACGTGGTGAACATTTCCTACACCTTTATACATTATTTTTAATTGTAGTATACAGTATCTGTTTAATACAACATCTTGACTTGACATTGTCTGTAGGATTGATTTGAAGTTGTCCGGAACTAAAGAGGTCACTTTTAGCTCAAAACACATCAAATCAAACCAAACTTCAGGTGTAAAATTACACCTGAAGAAGGCTCCACGGCCGAAACGTTGTGTTTTCTCTCTTCTTTTTTTCAGCATGGAATAAACCTAGTACTAATCCTTTGCAGCCTACGCATGCTGACGCAGCTACCCACCTGAACTAATAAATTTATAAGGCCTAATCTTAAATGCAATCACAACCACCTCACCCTTCATTAAAATGTCAAAATAAGACCATCCCAAACCACAAAGGATATTAGAACAATTACTGTAACATAAAAATACTTAATAAAAAAAGAAGTCCACAAAGCTACCATAGACCAATCTTAAATAAAGTGCAAATTAACTTAACTGAAGCACAAAATGCAAGTGAAATAGCCAAAATATTATCCTGCTCGAAAGTCAGGGTAATCTGAATTTCACACTATCAAATTTTATCAAATCAAATTACCAATTAAAAACTAATTGGAATTAAAAACAATAAAGAACATGGCTTCTATTTAAAATAATTTTAACATTTTCCAGAGTCTGATACTCAAACACCTGGATGAAAAGTCTATTCCAGATACCCAGAATTCTATGTATCACAAAGCTTTTCCTGTTCTCAATCTTAAATATTTTTTCAAAAGCCTGATTTCAGTTTCTGCTTAGGGTTAGGCCTAACAATAAATCTGTTCCAATCCTAAGACTCAACAGACTTTAGAGATAAGAGCAAAATTCTTCTCAAAAGACATTACTTGTCATGATGTGATAAAAGTACTTGAGGGGAAAGGTTTGGGAGCTTTGTTTGCTGGAGTTTTTGCAGAAAAATGGCTTCTATTGCATCTATTTTCTAATCCATCTGAGGTTCTCCAGCACTGCAGCGCATACAGAATGGCTAGTCACACTCAGCAGAGACTGAACGATGCAATGTTTAGACATGCAGTCAGAGGTGACACATAAGATTATGTGGGGATGCTGAATAAGCTGAACTGCACCTGGATCAAAGCACAAAAAACATAGGGACAATGCACTATGATCTGGTCATTGGCATACAATTAGCTCCTTGAGTTTCCCTCACTCATAAATGTTTGCCCTGAGATCACCTGGACATAACTGCCCCTTATTCAAGTCCTGAAGTTCTGGACAGAAAGGGATACAATATATACGCTTAGGTAAGAGGAGGCTGGGAGACAAAAGAAAAGAGAGAAGAAAGATGAGAGAGCTTGGAGAGGATGGCTAAGGTACTGTCTTCCCCTCTCACCTGCCGTGTATTTGTTGTTAGAGCAGGTTAGGGAGTGTATAATAAAACAGTTCATGTATGTAGCTGCGACAGCATTCGTAGGCTGCAAAGGAACAAGCAAAGGTTTATTCCATGCTGAAAAGAGAAGAAAGGAAACACAACGAAGAAGGCTCCACAGCCAAAACATTGTGTTTCCTTTCTTCTCTTTTCAGCATGGAATAAACCTTTACTTGTCTCTGTATAATAAGACACATTGTTTGGGACAGTCTGGACCAAAGGGGATGCTAGAGACAATCAAAGATTTATGGGGAGTTATGTTCCAATTCTTAATGTGTTAAAATGAGATATACAGATTTTGGATGTTGATTAAAGATGTTGTTAGCTTTTATAAACTTTATAACATTCCTTCATCTGTGACACTACTAGAACTACAACTGTAGCAATTACATTAATTACATAGAACAATAAATAATCCTAAAACAATTTTTGTTTTCTAGATCCCACCCTTCCTCTTCACTTAAAGTTTTTCTGTTAGATATCTAACAGATAGATCCTTCTAATTGTAAAAATCATTAACAATTCTCTTTACATGGGTGTGGTCCCCAATAAAGACTGCATCCATCATTCCAATACTTAAAAAACTGTCTTCGATTCTGATATAATGAAGAACTACAGACCAATTTCTAATTTAACATTTCTATCTAATGTTTAAGAACATGTAGCTGCACATCAATAGAGGCTCAGATCGATAGCTAATGATTTGTTTGAACTACATTATTCCAGTCCTGTTTTCACTGGAATCGTAGCATTGAGACTCTTGTCAGTGTTGTGAATGATTTACTTATTGAGTCTGAGTCGGGGGCTATGGTGTAAGTATTCTTACAATCCTTGATTTTAGTGTGGCTTTGATACTAGTGTTGCTCAAATGCTTGTAAACACTCGGTCTATCATGGGTACTTTTTAACTGATTGGAAGGCAATGAAGACGGTCAATGAAAAAAAGAGTGTAGACCAGGTCAATACTTTGAGTTTACAGCTTGTCCAAGGTCATTCATTATTAATACTATTAGTAATATCTTCGTTAAAGACTTTGATGGTGACAGCTCAAATATGAGAGGTTGAGCTTTATTAGCTCCACCTTGCGGAAATTCCGGATACTATTATTTTACTTGCAGTACTATAGGAGAATTTACGGTAACTCGCGGTAGACTGCGTAAAGCGCACCGCAAAATAATGCGGTATCACCTGCTTGTTTTGAATGGCTGCATCTGTACACACATGAAACCCATGAGATCCCATTCCCTCCACTTTATTTCAGTCTTGTTTCTCTTCTCTCTGTCCCGTTGTCTTCAATATTATAAATAAATCCATGAGCACTGGCAAATCTACCAATGGTCCTCAAAGCTGCTGCCATTATGCCATTGCCAAAAAAAACTAACATGGCATTGGAGAATCTATACAGTTTTTGTCCAATCTCCAACTTACCCTTTCTTGCAGATCACATTCTTGCTATCACATTCAGTTACTCTACATAACCACCTCATAGCAAATAACCTTTTCAAACCACTCCAATCTGGCTTCTGTCAACTTCACAGCACAGAAACTACCCTGGTCAAAGTCACTAACGATCTTCTAATAGCTTCTGATTCTGGTTCTCTTTCTATACTCATCCTTCTTGATCTCAGTGCTGCTTTTGACACTGTTGACCATGGCATCTTACTTTCTCGTCTTGAGACTGTGTTTGGAGTTTCTGACACTGCTCTTAAATGGTTCAAGTTTTACCTCACTGATCGCTGTCATTCTTTCTCTCCTAATGGGTAAAGGTCTGAAATAGGTCTTGTTAAGTCTGATGTTTCTCAAGGCTCAATACTGGCCCCCTTGCTTTTCAGCATTTACATGTTTCCACTTGGTCAGCTTTTAAGATCACATGGCCTCAGCTATCATTTCTACACTGATGATACTCAAATATACATCCATACCAAACCTCACAATGATGTGGCTGTCTCTGTTCTATCTAATTGCATCTCTGACATAAAAACTTGGATGACTCAAATTGTCCTTCATCTTCATGACTTCATAAGTCATGCTTATCAGCACTCCCAATCAGCTTTGTAAAGCCAATCCTGTAACCCTATTTGTAGATGGTTCGGTGTTTGAGCTTCAGTCTAAATTGAAAAACCTTGGGGTGATATTCGATTCTAGCTTAACATTCGACCCACATGTGCAGCATATTGTCAAAATATTTTTTTTTCACCTCAGAAATAACGCTAGACTATGCCCTATGTTATCACTAACTGTGGCAAAAAACTGATCAACACATTTGTGTTCTCCTGAATTGACTGTATAAAGTGTATAAAGTCACGTATTCAATACAATATCTTGTTACTGAATTTTAAGGATTTAAATAATGTGAAAGTCCTCTGTGTCTGGTCCTTGCTAACCGTACTCAGACTTGGTAGCCATGCTTTTTCTGTCGCTGCACCTTTGTGATTGAATACATTTTTTTTTACAAATTGAAAGACAAATACTTTGACTCTCTTCACATCTAAATTTAAAACACGTTTTTACCAGGGCCTATGATTTTGAGTTTGGAAGTCAGAAGGAAGTAGAAGAAGGAGGAGGAGCAGGAGGAGATGAAGAAGAAGAAGGAGGAGGAGATGCAGAAAAAGAAGAAGAAGGAGGAGATGAATAATAAGAAGAAGGAGAACAAGAAGAATTTTATTCTATGAAACCAAAGGGAAAATCTAACTATACCCATATTTATAAGTCAAAATCAACCAATTTCACTGGATAAAACACTTTACCCACCTGTAACATTAACCCTTAATTAAAATTAAATTTTCATTAAAATCAAAAGACATCTGGGACTGATATCACCCTGGCCTAAGTTCACATACAGTAAACTGAAAACTCACACAGATAAAATTAATCTGAAACACACAAAACCCCCCCAAAACAGATCAAAATGTTGAGTTCACATTATAATATTTTGCATTATTAGCCTTCCTCTTAAATAATATAGGCAGGGGTATCAGGTTTTATTAAAAAAAAACATTTTTTCTTTTTTATAAAACAGTATACATTCATCTTCGGAAACGTGCATTTGTTCACTTAAAATTCCATTAAAATATAGAAATTTCAAAGTATTCAGTGAAATAGTTCAGAAATGTAAAAGATAAGTAGTAAACACATAAATTATTGTTGAAAATAATTTCATTTATTGTTGCTTTTCTTTAGATTTACACATTAAAACATGCACTGTCACAGCCTACAGTATATTTGTATTTTGTTTCTACACAGTGTGTGGGCCATATATTTTGAGAGTAAATTTCAATATCAACATATTTTTTCAATGCATGTGTAAAACGATTTAATACTGTAAAGAACTTCAGCACCAGCATTAATAAATGCCATTCAGTAACTTAGCAGTCAGCAGTTTATCTGCTGAATTGCCCATTAACAGTTCATTAAAAACATTAACCTAATTTGAATGATTTAGATTACATAAAATCTAATATTGTAAAATTCTGATTAAGTTTGTGAAGCACATTGCTTCCACTTCAGTTTCATCTGTGGATTATGTAAGGCATTTGCTGATTGACATCAGTTGATATGATTACAGCTAACTAAAAATATGTTATGAAAATTATATTTACCTGAAAGGATCCTAAGCATAATTCTATGTAGAGCCGCACACCAACATTCATATAGTCAGGAAAGAAGTTAAAAACCATGTAATGTGTCCCAAAGAGTGGAATTAAAAGAAGAGTGGATTTTGACAGCCGTCTGTAGGTATGGAAGAAAATATATTGAAAGATATATAAATGTTAAAAAAGACATTCTGAGTCTTGAGTTAAGTTATGAAGAAGTGTTCTTCCTTCACATTTATCTTTAGCTTCAGTAAAAATAAAAACCTTTGAACAAACTTTAAATACTATAGCTAAACTATAATAATTTAACTTAAAATGACTTCTGATAAAATCTCGTAATTGTATAGTTTTACTAAAGTTTAGCTTAAGTGTGAACTTAAACTGCAAATACCTGCATGTTAGAAAGGTGAAGAAAAGTTTTTATTTTTGTTTGTTCTTCTTTTGTATAATCTTTTGATTACTTAAATTCTAGCTGTAACGTGAAGCTAGATTGTGTAAATAATTGTATTTCTTTTTAACTGATATTTGCTATATAAATTTGCCAAAATTGTCCCACTCAAGCAAGAATGTACAATGTACTATAGTATTATACTATAGTTTTCTATAGCTTGATTTTGTGTAACTCTAGATACTGTAACTCTTGATATTGAATGGATGAAAGATGATGCTCTTACAATGCTGTTGAAGCATTCTCAATTTTTCTTTTGCATATGGAAAATATGTTGAAAATATTTTAGTGCATTCGCAATCTTTTTGGGGAACTCTTACCAGGGTATCTTGGCATATCTCTTTGGGGAAATTATACCTGCTTATAATTTATCTTTTGAAAGTCATATGTCTTCCTCAAGTATATCCTACAGGCTACAATTCGTAGTAATATACTGTTATAGGTAAATATAAATTTGTATATATTTTCTACATACGTCTGAATGTATTTATATAAATTAAGTTTAATATGAATGAATTACATTCTGTATGTTTATTTTATGCAAACATTAATGTGTAAATGATTAATGATAATTGGTGTAAGTTATTTTGATACCACCTTTTTGGTTTTTTGTGGGTGTAATGCCAATGCTTCGTAACAGTTCATGTATGCATATATACATATATATATATATTCATACTTATGTTTTCATATTTGTTCCACAATATGTCATGTACAACCATCAGGTGCTGTCTGGTTTTCTAGTGGTTATGTTCTAATTAATTATCAAGAAAAGCTTGATGGTCAAAGAACTTAAAAAAAGTCCACTAACAAGAGGAGACCATTTGACCCTTCTCACTTATCTTGTTCAATTTCACTGCAACACCACCTCTGTGTTCTCTGTGTGGCTTATTTAAAGCTCTCTGGCTTCTGTCTAATGTGCTACTTGTCTCTCTGCTCCAGTTGCTGCTGTTTTAGAGCCCTGGATCTGATCTTGCCATGTCTAAGCTGCCTGATGCAATTTTCCACCTGTCATCAACGTCTTCATAACAATGCTTACCTCTCTTGCTCATGCTCCAGTTGTGCTCTCTGCAAAAGCACAGGAAGCAGCGCAAGCCATGTTCAGCTAATGCCACTTATACGTTCTAGCTTTTCACAGGACCAAGCTGTCCAGGAGCTCTGAAGTCAACAGAAAGTTCTGCTGCTCCGCTTACAGCAACAGATCCAGGAGCAACCACAGACATTCCCTATCTTTCCTCTGTAACTGGCTGCTCCTGCTCTGCCTGCTCTGTCAGAGTAAGACAGACTATCCATTTGTGTCATACCTGCTCATTTCCAAGGAAGAGTTTGATTCCCTAGAATAGGTAAGTCAATGACTATGTTAAGCGGCCCCCTCTTGAGTGTCCTTTCAGCTGGCACTCAATGGCATCCTAGTTCTAAAGAGTAAAAACGGTCACTTTTCCAATTTCCTTACATTTAGAAGGGGCTTCTTTGAGTGGTGAGTGTTTGTACAGTATGTACTGTATGTGTTGGACTCTACATCACATTATAACATTTTATATTTGTTTTGAACAAACAAAATTGTTGATTTAAGAGTTACTGTAACTTTGAGAATCTTTGAGTTAACTTTGAGAAAGCATTTGAGAAAATACGTGTACATTTCATAATTGCTTTATATTAAAATCTGTATACTATAATTCATTGACATTGGCCGTATGAAACAGGGCAATTTATGCCAAAATTATAAAAACAAAGCATGCCTTACCTGTACTGTGATGAATTATTAAACTGAATTAGGCGGGGGTTCAGTTTCTGAATCAAAATTCTTAGAATATTAATGAAGAGGATAAAATTAACCTGCAAAAAATTAGAAAATGAAAGATTATTTAAGATTCACTTTAATACTTAATAGAATTACACAAAATGTATTTTAGAGACAGGTCCAGAAGTGAACAGATTAAAACCTGTAATTGAAAAGTATTGGAATTTGCCCATCTTGTATACAATGCTGAAAGTTGCTTATTTTTATGTTCTATAATCACTCACTTTTTTATCCAATTACAAATGAAATGAAATACCAGTTTCTTCCTTCTTGTATGTATGCCCATCTAATCATCCCCTTTAATGACAATGATGAACCTTTCCCCATTGCATTTCTACACATTAATATAATTGTGTGACATTGAGAAATATTGATCATATTAGTTTTATTTTCCATAAAACGTCTCCGAATGCAAATGCAATGATTCTCCAATGTACAAAGCTATGTCTTTCTTACAGACATTCAAAATTTATAGCATCCATTTTAAATTTGGTTTTGTGTTAAATATATATTATATATATAAGTGTATTAGATATAGTAGCACAAATAGACAGAATAAAATATTTGCAAAATAATCTATAGATTTTGTGAAACATTATAAATAAAACTAATTCAAACTAAAAATAAAAAGTTTTATATTTATTGGAAGTGTATTTAAGATTATTATAATATATATATATACCATGGGTTTCCCACATTATATGAAATAAAACATGAAAAAACACTACAATACTACAAATTTAATATTCCTTTGATAACGCCATAAGGGTTACCTGAGAATTCTAATGATATTGCAACATGCAGTTCTAATAGTTTAGATTTAATCCATTGCCTTGACTTCCCCACTAGTATTGCAGTGCTATAAGACTTTTGCTAATCCACGATTCCTCCAGCACAACTCCCAATAGGTTTTATGTCACAAACCACAAATACACACAAAAGTGTTCAGACTTGGCATACAAGTTTTGGTTCAAATATTTACATTAAAATACATATACATTTGAAATTCAATACAATGGGACACCATTGGAAGTGGGGTAGAATATTCACAAAGAATTTGGAAAAATTAAATGAGTACGTACAGATGCAGCCATTCAAAGTGAGCGGTACAGACATGTACCGCAGGTAATTGGCTGCGGTGTCGCACATCATGACGCAAGATGACGCGGGGTACCGCGGTACGTGATTGGTTGACCGACAGGGGCACTCGTGGTCTGTTGGTCTGTCGTAGAAAGACTTACAGTAAACGCGTGTTTAATTATATGTGTTTTTTAATCATA